AAAAAAAAAAAAAAAAAAATTACCCGGGCATGGTGGTGGGCGCCTATAATCCCAGCTACTCGGGAGGTTGAGGTAGGACAATGGCTTGAACCCAGGAGGCAGAGATTGCAGTGAGCCAAGATCACGCCACTGCACTCCATCCTGGGCAACAGAGTGAGACTCAGTCTCAAAAAATAAAACAAAAACTAATAGAAGAATATTTTCTTAACAGAAAGATGATGTATTCCATATGAAAGGCCAACATCTTTTTCAGTGGTAAAATTCTAGAGACACTCCCGTTGAAATCAAGATGTTTTCTGCAGCATTATCTAACATAATTTTGGAAGTTATGAAGGGAATAAAGGAAGGAAAAATTGAGATTATTGACAGGTTAAAAGAAAAAACATTATTAATAGATTAAAAAATGCCTGGCTTCCACCCCAGACTGGTTAAATTAGAGTCTCTAGGAATGGGAGGCAGGCATTGCTCTTTGTTAAAAGCTGCCCAGGTGATTCTGATGCACAGTGAAGACTGAAAGCAGTACTCTAGGTTTTTTATTCTTTCAATTTAAAAAAAAAAATTTTTTTAGAGATAAGGTCTTCCTATGTTTCCCAGGCTGGACTCAAGGTCCTGGGATTAAATGATCCTCTGCCTCAGCCTCTGAAGTATAATAACTAGGACTACAGGCCACTGTGCCCAGTTCTAATTGCATTTTTATTTTTTTTGAGACAGAGTCTTGCTCTGTCACTTAGGCTGGAGTGCAGTGGCACGATCTCAGCTCACTGCAACCACTGCCTCCCAGGTTCAAGCGATTCTTCTGCCTTAGCCTCCTATGTAGCTGTGATTACAGGCATTTACCACCACGCCCAGCTAATTTTTTATTAGATTTATTAGATTCTCGTGCTTCAGCCTCCTGAGGAGATGGAACTTATGCCTTATGGCACCATGCCTGGCTAATTTTTTTTATTTTTTATAGAGACAGTGGTTCCCCATGTTGCCCAGGCTGGTCTTGAACTCCCAGGCTCAAGGGATCTGCCAGCCTTCACCTCCCAAAGCACTGAGATTGCAGGTATGAACCACCATGCCTGGCCTAGATTTATTTTTAATGACAATCCTAGTGACAGCTCTAACCCTTTTTTTGATATATTAAAATCCACTAATAACAAAATAATATAAATGGAAAGAGAGATCTTATTCAGAACAACAACAAAAACTCCCCTAAGAACAACTGAAACCAGAAAACTATGTGATCTATATAAAGAAAATTATAAAACTTTACTGTAAGACATAAAGCCTTGAAAAAATGCCCTGGATGGAAGTGCTGATTATTTTTTTAAGATGTCACTGTTTTCCAAATTGGATTTATAAGTTCAACATAATTCTAGTAAATAGTTCAATGGTATTTTTTTACATTTAATAAAATTATTGTAAACCACAGTGGAATTTTTTTTTATTTTATTTTTTTTTTTTATTTTTATTTTTTATTTTTATTTTTGAGACGGAGTTTCGCTCTTGTTACCCAGGCTGGAGTGCAATGGCGCGATCTCGGCTCACCGCAACCTCCGCCTCCTGGGTTCAGGCAATTCTCCTGCCTCAGCCTCCTGAGTAGCTGGGATTACAGGCACGCACCACCATGCCCAGCTAATGTTTTGTATTTTTAGTAGAGACGGGGTTTCACCATGTTGACCAGGATGGTCTCGATCTCTTGACCTTGTGATCCACCCGCCTCGGCCTCCCAAAGTGCTGGGATTACAGGCTTGAGCCACCGCGCCCGGCCCCACAGTGGAATTTTTTAAAGTTTAACATTAAGCTGGGCGCAGTGGCGCATGCCTGTAGTCCCAGCTACTCGGGAGGCTGAGGCGGGGGAATTGCTTGAGCCCAGGAGTTCTGGGCTGTAGTGCGCTATGCTGATCAGGTGTCTGCACTAAGTTCAGCATCAATATGGTGACCTCCTGAGAGCAGTGGACCACCAAGTTGCCTAAGAAGGGGTGAACCGGCCCAGGTCCAAAACGGAGCAGGTCAAAACTCTCGTGCTGATCAGTAGTGGGATCGCACCTGTGAATGGCAACTGAACTCCAGCCTGGGCAACATAGCGAGACCCCATCTCTTAAAAAAAAAAAAAAAAAAAGAAGTTTAACATTAAAAGTACAAAAGTAAGTGTGCAAAGAAAAAATATAAAAACAAAAACAAGTAATTAGGAGGGACTATCCCTGTTTGGTATTAAAACATATAAAAAAGCACAGTAATTTATTTCATTTTTTTGAGACAGGGTTTCACTCTGTCGCCCAGACTGGAGAGCAGTGGCACAATCTCAGCTCACTACAACCTCCGCTTCCCTGGCTGAAGTGAACTCCAGCCTCACCCTTCCAAGTAGCTGGGACTATAGGCGTGTGCCACCACGCCCAGCTAATTTTTGTATTTTTTATAGAGATGGGGTTTCCTCTTATTGCCCAGGCTGGTCTTGAACTCCTGAGGTTAAAGTGATCAACCTGCCTCGGCCTCTCGAAGTGCTGGGATTACAGGTGTGAGCCACCATGCCAGGCCATACAAAGCACAGTAATTTAAACAATGTGGTCTTTCTGCCAGCCAGCATGGAAATTTACCCTAAAGAAATAGAGTATCCAGACCATCACTGAATTCAGTTACAGGAGATGATTAAAGCTCAGCTACTTAGTTGCTGAGTCACCCGTGGTCAGGACTTCAAGATCAGCCTGCCCAGCATGGTGAAACCTTGTCTCTACTAAAAATACAAAAATTAGCCAGGTGTGGTGACAGGTACCTGTAATCCCAGCTACTCAGTAGGCTGAGGCAGGAGAATCGCTTGAACCCGGGAGGTGGAGGTTGCAGTGAGCCAAGATCGTGCCATTGCACTCCAGCCTGGACAACAGAGCGAGACTCCATCTCAAAAAAAAAAAAAAAAAAAAAAAAAGAGAGGGGCCCATCTTGCTGGCTGTGGAGTTGTCATTGCTTCAACAGCCTCATATTAAAATAAATTACAGGAACTACCTTGGCTTATCGCAGGCCTGGCCCAGGCCAGGCAGTGGCTCCCTCCCCAAGCAGTCATCTAAGACTGTAGGGCCATCCTATAGCAGTATCTGATTTATCATGAAAAAGATCACAACACTCACAATGTGCATCTTAGCTAAGACCAGTGAGACAGAGCTTGTTGTTTTCTCTTTTAGGGTGAAATAGTTAAGAAATATACTCAGTTCAATCCTAAAACCTATGAAGAGAGGATTAATTTAATCCTACAGATGTGTGTGGAAGCTGCGGCAGAAGCTGTAAAACTGAACTGCAGAATTTTGGGAGTAGGTAAGATTGTAAATTATAAATCCAAGAAATGGTCATTTTAATGTACAAAATTGACTAACTTGTGATGCATGCCTAAGCATTAAATCAGCATCTGCCCTGTGCACAGATGACTCTAGGTGCTGCCTGTGGGCCCCAAGCATGGAGACTTCCGGGGACACCAACAAACATTAGGAAAGAAGCAGTGACAGGTCTAGAAATCTTCGAGGCGCTATGACTTTAATTCAGAACTGTCTAATATTTCCTTACAGTCCTTGGTAATGTTTGTCTTAGGAGATCTGAGGTGAATGAATCTGTGTTCTAAGCCAAGAAAGTCAGCACACTTTCCTGAGATTTCTCATCAGCATTATTTTCCTTGTGTTCGTGGTGGAGCACAGGCATTTCCACAGGTGGCCGTGTAAATCCTCGGGAAGGAATTGTGCTGCATTCAACCAAACTGATCCAAGAGTGGAACTCTGTGGACCTCAGGACCCCCCTGTCTGACACTTTGCATCTCCCCGTGTGGGTAGACAATGATGGCAACTGTGCTGCCCTGGCAGAAAGGAAATTTGGCCAAGGAAAGGGACTGGAAAACTTTGTTACACTTATCACAGGCACAGGTAAGAGAGGTAAGGGAAGGTTGCTTCAGGAGCTAGAATGTATATTCGGGCATGTCTTCAACACAGTCAGGTGGTTACAACTCTGCATTAGCCTTCACTTCCTGCTTGAATAGAGCCTGAAGGTGAGCCACGTGTGGCCTTCTCATAGCTTTCCTGAGCATGTGCCCAGCCCTAGACATGCATGTGGCCTTCTAAATTCCAGGTACTTGTCAGAGCTATTCAAAGCTCTTATTTCCCAGAGCTTCTCATTTCCCAACTTTCCTCTCAGTCTTTTTGGTTAGTGTGTTGGATGCCCCAGCTGTTATCCTTTGCCCTAGGCAGCAGAGACTAATACATTTTACTTTGAAGTGTTTTTGATAAACACCCTTCATGTAACCCCCTCAGCACTGGGATAGTTCCTAGTTAGTTGAGATAAAGCAGGCCCTTTGAGCTAGTCCTCCAGGGAGCTGACAGGTCAAAACAAACAACCACAATTTTTTGAGAATAAGTTCGTCCTGCCCTGTCAGGTGCTGGCATCCAGTACTGTATCTGTACACCAGTACTGGGAGTGTGGGCTGCTGTTCAGTGACACCACCAAGCTGGAGAGTGGGTGATAGGACCAGGGTAGGTTAAAACACCAGAAAGTTCTCTTATCAAGATTCAGCCAGTTTTGTTTTGTTTTTAGACAGGGTCTCACCATGTTGCCCAGGCTGGTCTTAAACTCCTGGGCGCAAGTGATCCTCCTGCCTCGGCCTCCCAAAGCGCCGAGATTTCAGGCATGAGCCACTGCACCTGACCCTGCTTTTTGTTTTTGTTTTTTAAATTAAGCATTCCTGTTTGCTGCAAACTTCAGTTATTTTTCCAGAGTTCCAAAAAGGTTGATTCTG